ATACCTCATCACGTATTCCCGTGCAATATAATAAGTAATAACATAATATAATATACTAAAAAATATGTAACTGCATCACAAATATTTTATTGCCTATCCGATCATACTATTCAATTATCTTCAAAGTTATATTTTTATATCTGACAGAATTTCATAAGCAAAATTAATCTCAATATTTGTGGTACGTAAGATGAGCTTGATAACTTTTGAACTTGTAGCTCAAATATCAGTCGGTATATCTTTTTTGAAGACTTATAACTTGAATTTGTCATCAATTGAGACCAATTAAAAAACAGGGAATGTAGGTTTTACCATTATGTTGTACACCATAGGTGTCGGTGTATCTCGTCATTGAGTGAGTCACTGTAAATTTGAATTCGATAATAAATCATTACATACAAAAAATGTATCTGAACTAAGATGGATGCAAGTAGGTATATATTTTCTAATATATTTATAATTTATATTACTATTTAAAGTAATTTATATTACTATTAGTAATAAGGAAGGTTGCCATAATTTTTATCAACAATTTGTTGACAAATTTGTTTCAACAAAAAATGTCACTGTCTGCGTAAAAAATAACAATATGTGTTAAAAGTTTCAAGTTTCTACGGTTAATATTTTTTAATTACAACAAAATAACTTAAATCATTATTCTTCGTTTGGATGTCAAATTTCTAATATTGAAAAAGAGTGCAAATATATTATATTAAATGTATTTTTTTTATGTTTTGATTTTAGTATGAACTATACTTGTGAGGAACCTTCCATTAATTTTTCATGCTTTATATCTGTAAAATTGAATATCTTATCAATTTTGACTACAAAATAATTTGCAAATTTTCGAGATTTTAATGAATTTTTCTAATTTGAATTTGAAATGCTTAAAAAAAATCATGCCTATTTACCTTTAACAATTTTAAATAACTATAATAACAACTTATGCGAAATCTTGTATTACATTTTCAAGCTTCTTGAGCAAGCAACACATTTTTTATCAACATTTATAGAAAAAAAATACAAAAAAAAAATTTTAAATACCAAATATTTAAAATATGATGAAAAAGATTTTGGTCAACGTTTTAAGAATCAACTGTTATTCGTATTTGAAATCAAAAAATCTATGTTGTCAAAAACTAGTTTTGATTAAAAATTCCTGTTTTTCCATATTTTTTTTTTTTTGTTTTTTTGTAATTATTTTTAAAAGTTCTGGGAGCATTTTACTTTTGTCCTCCTTCCACAATCCTAGAGTACCAACTAGATCCAATTTACTACCAGAAACTACCCTCGTAGTTGAAAATACGAGTTAAGATACAGTTTAGATACAAAACAAAAAGAGCACACACATCATTGTACAACCAGCACATTCACTTAATTTAAAAGTGTATAAATTATAAAATCATTTTAATTCTGCTTCTAATTTATTGAGTTAAATATTCATCACAATATTTCCGAAGTCGACTATTACGGTCTTACGGTATTTTAATCCAGTACACCTATAATAGTTATTGTTTTATTACGTCATACATTAATTTTCTATTCAATTATAAGATGTACTGCAGTGTATGCACTGATGGCAAAAACATTTGAATATTGTACTGCATGAATAGTTTAAACTTATTTAAATAAATATGAGGCCTTTTCAAATGTATATCATTATACCATTACAAAATCAATTATTAAATTGCGTCATGAGCTTTAATAAAATAGTTGTTGAAAAAATTAATATCCTATCGGTAATCATATCATTGACATATTGTAAAAACAGATTTCCCTCGGTGGTTTTGTCTTTTCGTCAGGTTAGGTAAAACGAAAATTTTATGGATCGTTTAGTAGATTACGTTGTTGTTTATGTACAAGTTGTATTGTACTCTTTACTGCTTGAGTCAGTGGATTCAATAGGGATTTGTAAAAGTGCTTTACGCCTGTACCTACTATTATTAGTTACATTTACCTAGCAATAACCTATTTTTTTAAGTATATTGAGTGTTTTTAACATTAAATGCCTGTTGAATTCACAACGTAGGTAGTTGTTCTCAGAATTCGTTTAATATTGTTCCGTCTACTTAAACGAACTCGTCCACGACATGAGTTTTACTTGGTATTGGGTGCATGTTTTCATACATATATTTTAATTCCGCAGTCTTTTCTTTTAGAAAAAGATAGCCACATATATGAAGGAAAAATTGAAAGCATATTATATATTTTTCTTTTTCAGTTTTCGAAATTTGAACACCTCTAATATGGTATTATTTTGCTAATTGCAAACAATAATTTATAAGATAATTTTCTTCTATGCTATTATTTTACCTCATTAACGTCAAATATCACGACGATGATCGGATAATTCGTGACAATAATATAATAATATTAAAATACACGATAAGTTAACGAATTACGATTTAAACTAAGTTGAATTAACGTCACAGTGAATTGACCTGACACCAACATTTTGATCGCCTTGCTGATTATATTATTATATATATTATATACATTATAAACATAAGAGTATTATTTTTTATACAGAATCAGTGAATAGCTAGTTTAAAAAACTTCCAGAAAAATAAAGTGTCTAAAGTAAAAATATTTCTTTAATAATTTTAATATACCTGAATAATCAATTAAAATAGTATGATTATAAGACGCAGATAATTGGATGTAATTTGAAAAAATTAAATGCGATTTTCGAATATTGCGTTTGTATAGCTTATTATAATATATACGTGTAGTATTATACTTGAAAACATATATGAAGTGTCTTAATGTATAAGATTGAGATAGTTTTTGAAGTGTGTGAATATATAAAGACAAAATTCAAGCCGAAACAAATCTTTAAAAAAAAAAATGATGGAATAATAGAAGCTTGTAATCGCAGGTCTCTTGGATAACAACCGTTTGAAGACAGATAAAAGTATAAAACCTACACAGCATATACACTCGATAGTGAAAATAAAAAAAAAATAGAAAAGAATACTACAACAGGCAATATACTATATCTCACGGGAAAGACGGAAACCCGAAATTAAATTCTTCTTCGAATTCTTGCTGGTTCCGGGGGTGAACAACACACGAAATCCGCGGCAAATAGGCCAAATTATTCTTCTATATCGGTCGAAGAGAGTTGTATCCATGTGTAATATGTGTGTGGGTTTTGTGTCTTAGAATAACGACTAATTGAATCCCGCTCAACACGTGAAGAGAGCCAGCCCCATATATATATATATTTGTGAACGGCAGGGTAAGACACAATCCGATGGTATACTAAGAGGGGAAATACGCGTGAATCAAAATATAATTAATGGATGACGATGGAAATGTAATCGTAAACGACTGTATAGTTGTGCAGGAAAACGCCACAATATAACAGATGCCCGGAGAAATAATTATTTTCGTTTTGAACATAATACATAAGATATAAAATATTATGTACTATATATATACATAAATTTTATATTCAGTGGCGTTAGCCAGGATTATGTAATGGGGGGAGGGGCTTATTTTAATATAAATTAAACTAAGTTTTTTACAGTTTTCGTATATGTAAATAATATAAATAATACATTTATTAGGGTGGGGAAATGTCCATGGGAAAGGTAGGTTTAAACCCCTCTGGTTATGCCGCTGTATTGTATATTAGTTGTAATTACTATACTATAGACAGGCTAACTATTTACAAACTCTAAATTAAAGCAATTCATGTGTTATTTTCATACAAATAAAAAAATGTATACTTCATTATGAAAATTAGTAAGCCATACAACATTTTAGTACCAGTGCCCAGTGATATTATTACAGAAATACAAAAACCTACAAAAATTAATGTAACTTACACATCTACATTACCAATTACCTCCATGGATTAATTTGGGAGTAAATACTAACCTAACCAACTTCGAATAAAATATTTTGGTTTCATCGTTTCATGAAAATGTACACAATAAATACTCTATTACTATAACATTATTAATAATACTATATAATTTAATTATATTTTTCATTGAATTATTTTCAATAAAGTTTTAAGACGAAGCAGAATCAAGATAATACTGTTAAATCATTGTGTTTCAACATTCAAACTAATTAACTGCATTTAAGTAGAACTAATTAATTAATTAAGAATAGTTAGCCAGACAAACAACAAACCTAATATGCTAAGATTAAATAATGTCCTGCAGACGATAATAGTTAATGGTGAAAAAATAATTTTTTCACTCTGTTCGTGAACGTTTATTTATTTATTTTCCCATTTATGAAAACCATTTATCTTATGGAAAAAAACCACCCCGAGTGTAACAGAAAATCGTTCTCGGATCATACACTCGAAAACTGTGGCTTTTGACAGATTATCAAACACGGAAAAATCGTTGACAATAGTATCCCGGTAAAAGGGGAGGGTTAAACTTGAATGGATAATTTTGCGGAATAATCGAAAGCTAAAGAACTTGTGTGGAGGTGCATAGGAGAAAGCACGGCTTACTTAACCTCTGTGACCGCTATGCACAGCAAGGGAGAAGTTTCTATTGATAAAAAACCAACCCCGACTGGTGGCCGAACGGGAAGGGATCGCCCATTCTAATTCGTATTTTTTTTTTATACATGTATAAAAATAACCGAATAGGGGGCATCATTTTTTCGAGGGGCTGAATCCCGATAACTGCAGAGGGAAACAACTGGAGGGACAAGCCCGTCCCGACAATATATTTTTTATCAGCTATTGTTGTTTTGTTGCCTTAGAGGAGCCATCCAAACCATTAGGCCGAATTGAGAAAATATTTATATATATATATATATATTATATATATATTTATTATACGCTTTTCTACGTTCTTATTTTTTCTTGTTTTTGCCCTCGTTTTTATATCGCTGACCGTATCTACCATGTAATTGAATTATATTCGGCAACTGTAGTGTTGGCCCTTGTCAAAGGGTGGGTTGTTGTCTTTATTTTTCTTTGCTTTTGAAATTCAGTAATATTAAATCAATCATAATATTATTACCGTTTTCTCCTTATCTCGTTCATAAGTGTATTGGACGGCGATCTGTATAGGCAACATGCCCGATATATATATATCATGAAAATATCCGTCCACTGCAATGTGCACTCGTATATATGCTCGTACTTATTACGAAAAACAATTGTATTTGAGACCTGTGAAATAAAAACATAATATAATAATATTGATGTAAAATTCATTGTTGAATTTATAACATAGACAAAAAAAAATAACTACTTTTTACACAATTATTTCTCATATTATATTTATTACGTGTTTTATTGAATAAAAATAATATATAACAATTTTTTTATTTTATTTTAAACGGAAACTATCATCTAATAGAGTATACGAATATATCTTTAATGTATATATATATATGAGTCTCTTAACAACAGTACAAAACCTTAACCTTAACTTAACCTCCATAAAAAATTAAGAAATGACAAACAAAAAACAATCGTTAACCAATAAACTATTGCGACAAGTTATAATTACAATAATAATTATAATAGATGGATATAATCCTCCTCCCACTCGTGACCAAAGTTTATTGAATATTTTTTTTCATTGATTTATTCTAATTCTATGATATCGAATTTGTTGTTCTCCAAAATTGTGAGTCAAGTGTCAACAATCATTTATCCGAATGCGATATAATTAATACGCTGTTTATTTCAGCATTATTTTATATGTTTTTATATTAAACTATTAAAGTGTATTTTATCTCCAGGCATTACTTATACAAAGATGGTTTATTATGTAATAATAGTAGTAGTAAACAATCACTCATTTAAATAACAATAATAATATATTAATATATTTTTAATTATTGTTAAACAGTATATTTTGGAAACTCTTCTAAAACTTTTATGTAACGTTGATAGAAATCATTTTTAGATTTAGATTTAACTTATCTTTAAAGTTTGACCACAAAATAGAAATCAAAATTATTTAATATGTTCGTAAATGTATCAGTTTAGTAAAAAACAAAACATATAATAAATTCTGAAATATTATAAAATGGAATGTTTTGTCAAACGTCTTATACTAAAATAAAACAATAACTTTAAATTGAACTAGTTTTAAAAAAAGTTTGTTTATAGGCAAGACGTTAATGCGTTAATGCCCATTAACGCGTTAAAAAGTTTAAGTTAACTTGATTTCAATTTCAATTATTATAATTTCATATTTTCGTATAAAATATTATAATTTATAAGCACCTATTATAATTGTTACGACTGTAGTATACGTTTGTCGTTTATACAAATAAGGTTACGTCAACAGATATTATTTCAATTTTACATATCTAAAAACGGAAACTCAGTTTATTTGTATTAACTTAAATTGAATTAAAAAGTTAATATTAACGTTTGTTTAACTTAACTAGGTTAAAAATTATAGTATCATAGGGTCCATTTCAAAGTGAAGTTTTCATAAATTTCATAAAAAAAACGGTTCAAAAAAATGCAAAAAATGGCCTGCCTCCAGAGAGAATTGAACTCTCGACCCCTGGTTTACAAGACCAGTGCTCTAACCACTGAGCTATGGAGGCTCATTAACATTCTCGCACAAATAGTTGTATTTAAGGCGTGATGTATTCTTATAAAAAACAATTATTGTACATTATAATATTAAAACTATATTAAAACAACAAAACGACATATGATTTACAATATTAAAAACATCATATTATTTGCTATCCACGCGCAATCCCGAAACACAATTTTTAAATTTCTCAACATAGGTACCTATGTTTAAAACACCTTTTGGTCTTAGGCTTATATAGTTATTTCCCCTGTGTATCCGCCCGCTAGTCTCTACTCTCTAATAAATTTAGTATTTTAGTTACGATTTTCAATATTATGTTATTTATTAATGGTCTGTAGAATATTTTTTTATAGTCTAGCGACTGTACATACTAGTATACTACATAGTTACAATTGGCCGTTGCATTCAGAAGATTTAACAACTCAGCACTTTTAGCATTGGTTGTCTCTTGGTATGTTAGTGCGTAACACATCAAATTTAGATCACGCATGTAGCTTCGTTAATTTAAAAATTAGTGAATCAGTCTATTATGAAACTTGATACTCAGATCATTATCTCTGTTTGAATGAGGGATTTTTAGCAAGCTTCAGGTATACGGTATACCTATATTATAGTGTACCTAGGTAAATTAAAAATGCTCATCACTAACATAAAAAGTGAATTAGGCACCTACCTATCATAAAAAACCCACAGATAATATTCTAACCATCAAGTTTCATAAAAGGTCGTCACTTTAATTTTAAAATTAACAAAGCTAACAGTGATCTGTCAAGAGTATGTTTTCTATGTTTAAGAATATGTTTTCTTGTAAAATGAAGACAATAAATAACAGTTATAACCCTCTTAATATTGTATAACGTTTCTATTCAAAGTAAATGTAAATTAGTAAAGTTTGTAGGTAAGTATTAAAAAATATCAACATTTGAGAATTTAATATAGATTCATTCTAGCCAATATTAAAAACCAAAATATTATTAAGGTTAGGTAGATACCAAATTCTTTTTAATTTTTGTATCATAAAAAATTACCTACATATCTAATTCATTTATTAACTTGTAAATCAAGAATAACAATTATTATTAAATAGGTAAATACCTACATACCAGCCTGTAAATTATGTTATTAAGTATATTCCAATTAAAATGTGTGGTGATGAATAATACAATGTCAGACGAAACTCAATCATATAGATTAACTATGTATTATCTTTCAAGTTTTGGTTCAAGTTTAATACATCAATTCATTCTTTGCTTAAACAATACAATTTTAAAACAATAGTTTCCTACAATTTTTTTTTTTTTTTGTAAACATACAAATTATAATTTAAATAACACTTTGGCACCGACTTAATAAACTAGGTTCGATTTCAAAACATAGTTACCTATAATTATAATACTTTTAAATTAAGAATAATAAATCATTGATCTTAGCTGAAGCTTCACTTTTTTCTATGTCATGAGTTATTTTATCCTGTTATTAGAAAATTAACAATAATTATGATTTACAGTGATTATTAATAATCTGTAAGGAAGTTCTTATGAACTGGTATGTGAGGGATCTAGATATATTCGTATATACACATTACACACCCTTCTGCTACCTAAACTAAATAACACTACTTATAATTTTACAAAACATTTGCTCAAGATTCAGAGTACCTACCACTTGAATAATATTAAAGACATATTTAATATATCATAGGTTTTACATGGACAAGTTATGATATATCTACTTAGTGAACTATTTTATATTTAAATTTTAAATATTATAATTTCTAACTATAAAATGGCTCTACAGCTTATGTAATAATAATCTATATACATAGAAAAATGTTATAATTTAACAATTATATAGTATTATATTAAAAAACTAATTGTTTTAAGCCTATAACCATACCCATGTTAGATACAATATGCAAGAAACTGTATTAGTAATTACTTATTTCACAATATAGATAATATCATCTACACACTACACCGATAGTTATTTAATAAAAATACTAGAACATATTTTTACCAGGCAGTAAGCACTATACCGCCTATCCTTATTTCTTAGTTAACTATTAAATAATTTAGGTATACATTTTCATATTCTCTATCAAATTGCCATGCTTATTATTATATTATAGGTAATTTAAATCTATGTACTTTATAGAAAATACTTTTACTAATAAACATATAACAGTTAGCAAATTAAATTTTAATTTATTATATGATATACATAGCAGGTACTCAATTATAATGAATTACTATACATAAGTCTTAATATTGAAGTTTTTCATTTCTTAAAAATACAATAGGTAGAAATGATAAACAATCAGTAAAAATAAAACATGATTTATACTACATAATATATAAGCTTTACCAACAATACATTTTACTAGACCCTATACAACGATGGTATTTTGGTTAAATGTATGATACCTTCTTCCTACTTTACAATTTAACTCATATACTATAGAAGCCAGTTTTTATCATTTAAACAATCAATTGGCAGACAAATAATAATTATTAGTAGTATACATTTTTCCATAGGTACATCAAACAAATTCACATTGTATTTGACTTTTGGAGTAAACTGAAATCATTACTTTAAATAATTGTATATTAAATTTAAGTGCAAAATACAAAAAAATATTTAAAATTCTAAGATAAAATAAAATAATTTTATTTATTTCAACTAATTATTTTTACTGTAAAATCAGTTTTAAATTAATTTAACTTGTTCATAATATTAAAGCATTATCAGATAAATATTTTTTAAATAAAATTAAAAGAAATTATCATAAAAATAAAAATAGCAATGTTTAAAATGTCTTTAAAATACATGTTTAAAAGTATGATCTTAATAGTGAACTAAATGCAAATAAAAAACTTCAATCATGTTTAGGAGTCTTAATTTATAACTAATAATAACTATTTTTGTAAAATAACAATACATACTACTCTGTAATGTAAATGCTATTATTCACAAATTATTTTATTAAATATTTTGATATCCCTAGTAAGCTTAACTTAAATGTATTCAGTATAAAAATGTAAAATGCCAAAATATTTTAGTTTGATAAAAGGCATAGATATTTTACTTAATATTTTTTTTTTCAAAAAACAATATTAAAAAACTATATTAATAAAAAAAATCTCAATTTGTATTTAAAAAATAAATAGAATATGTAATGATTAACATTTTTAAAATGATATAATAATATATGTAATTTTCCTACTATATACTTTTAAACATACCATTGCAATCCAAGTTCTTTTATACACATTCTAAATAATTAATCCTTTTTGCTGGTTATTTAAGAAAAATAATTGTATGCACTTATAACAAACACTGGAGTGAAATTAAATAAATTGAAACACACGTTTTAAAAAAAAAAAAGAAAATAAACTAAAACCAATACAAGTGCGCTTGTCGAACACACAAACACAACTGTAGCGTTACTATCGGTATTGTACGACAACAGCGGACGGCAGGAACCCTTTGGACTCTTTTGCATGAAGCACTGTGGTTGGCTAAAAAATAAAAGGCTATTTACCCTTTTATTTCTTTACTGCACACTGTAAGTCTCTGCTCCCCAATGATATGCGATTCAGTCTGATGGTGCGCACTCGCTAACATATGCCCTGCCGGCAGATATACCAACACTATGCATAAAAAAAATATAAAAAACTATTTATACTATATGATATAGAGGAAGGGTTAACTAACCCTTTTTTACTGTATAGGAGCCATTTTGATTTTTTCCACCCTTTTTAGTACCTAGTATGGACTAATGCAGCTGGTTAAAAGGGTTGCAACCCCTTTTACTGTGGTCACTGCTTAACCCTATAAGTGTTCCTACAAATAAATACCTATTACAATAAATTATGCTGTTAAAACAAACATTATAATTTTATTGATATTTTTTTTTACTGATTATTGATGAATCTTTACTAACATAAAGGCTCCTATGTATATATAGTTATGCATATTATTTAACCATTGTATTTATTTACATGATCTGAACTTAATTATCTTTATTTTTAAATAGTGTTTTAATAGATATATTTTCAAAAATATTACTAAATTCAGTAAAAATGTATCTAATTATTTTTGTTAGTAGGTAATCAACTAATAATGATGCAATCTTAATAAAATAAAACATCATTTTTAAAAATAATTCCTTCTAAAAAGCCATAACTATTTCTAATAAACAATTAAATAGGTAGGTATCAATTTGTATCAGATAAATCCAAAGACATCATGTGTAACCATTGAAAATGTTTCAGTTAAAAAAAAATATATAAAAATATATTGTATTATTTTTAAAATACAAAATATTATAATTAGGTACCTGCCTGGTACCTACCGTTATTAATGGTTGATAAAATTAAGATAAGAAAACTAGTCAGTAAAATGACAAAATATTAGTTTGTTGTAATAAATAATAAAAACAATATTGAGACTATAAGGTAAGTCTATACATTTTTTTTAAATGGGTGTCCTGATAACCCACTCATCATCAAATTTTTACTTAATTTATGATCACTAAAGAAAAAAGGATGGGCGTCCCTGAGTTAGAACATAAGTGTTACGCCTGTAAAACTTATATCATTTATAGTACTTACCTAAATTAAATTTTGTTATCAAGTAATTACTAATTAGGTAAGGCTTTACTATTTTTCAGTTACATTAAATAATTTGGTTAGTCTTATTAATTTTAAGTACTACAGTAATGACTTATAATTACATTAGATATTTTATGGTGTTGTAATTCACTCATATTTGTTGGTAATTAAAAATCTTATTGAGATCCATTATAAAATTAAATTATCATGTTGTACACACACTGAATAAAACAGTTTTTTTTATAATCATTATTTCTATTATTTAATTCTAAATCTATTATTAGGGATGTGGGTTATATTTGTAATAAGTCATAATACCACTCTCTTTTTAACCTGGTAGAGTTAGGATGGAAAGGTCATTTACCTATAAAGGGAGGTGGGACTATTTTGGAGTCGCTAATGAAAGCATGTATAAAATAGTCGTGCTTCATCATCAATATTTTCCATACTTAAATTTTTTAAGTAGTGTTTGGTTATATGGCCAGACTTTGGAGAGATAACTTAGTTATATGTATAAAACATATTACTTAACTAATTAAAAAGTTCAAAATTAGAACAATTCTAAAGGTATAATAAACTTAAGTTTTCAACAAGCAAAGAATGTATTTCAAATTTTAAATTATTATCATTTCTCATTCACTCTATTTAATTTGTATTTACATTTATATATAGTTATTAATTATGCATTTTATTTATGATTTATTATGTACAATTTTAAGTTTAAATATTTTGTTCTTTTTTTTATTCTTACATGTATAACGTAAAAAGAAATTAATTATTATAAAAATGTAAATGAAATATTGTTGATTGCCAAGTTATCAAATTAATCTCCTATGCTTGAATTGGAAAAATATTAAAAGGAGATTCTTCGAGTGTAAAAAAAATGTGTGTTTAGGATAAGATCAATAAGATAACTACCTGAATATTTAAATATCTTATTGATTAGGATATTATAATTTATAGTTAGATGGATTCCTACACATAAATATTGTTTAAACAGAAGAGGGACTCAGTGATCCAAGTACTATCTGTCTCAGTCTTCAGATAAGAGAAACCCCAGAACCAGGGCTTGGCAGCGACTGATTTTCGCCCGGCTCTTTCAGACCACACTTTTCGATTAATTTGATTTTCATCAACTTTCATCTTGAGTTTTCATTTTGGACAATTTTTGTTATTCAGACCATAATGTTAATAATAAATTATTATTTTTAATTTACTATCAGTGGAGATGGGCAGTTAATAGCATTATTACATTTTTCAATTAGTTAATTATATTATATTGTATATTAAATCACACATTCGCATAAACATGATGATAATATTACACCTACAAGTTTAGACCATAAAAAAATATTTAACTAATAATAACTAAAAAATTAAAATAAAATAAAATAATTAAAATATCTACCCTTCATATAAATTAATATTACAAGTCTTTGTTTGCCTTACAAATTATAAGATAGTTAAATACAGTTCATATTGTAACATACAGCATACCTATCCGGTTGATTATCAACAATTTATTAATCAACACATAATAAAAAAAACTACAAATTCCAATAATTGGATATATGTTACTATTATTATTTCGTGTTCAAACTTTGTAAGTTGATAACTGAAATTCCAAGAAACTATTTACTATCTGAATCTAATTAATTTACATTTACACTATTCAACAATCAATACATTATTATTTATTAGCTACAGACGTAGTCGTCTATATTACATTATGTTGACATAGGTTCATCGTTCGGCGTTCACATTTAGTATACACATTTACAAAGATTTGTATTAAGTTACCTATCCTTATACTTTAGGCTATACGTATTTAACTGCCCGCGACATTCTTGTTATAAAAATGTTAGATGAGAATTTATTGTTTTGAGATAAAAATGTAAATGGAAATAAACTTGTAAGCGATTTTTTTGATCAGCTAATGGACTAGTCAAAACGTCTTCCCCGCCTACCTATTAAAAACTGAAATTACACAACTGAATACGTGATTACCTACATTTATGTAATCTAATAATTATATAAAATATAAGTATAAATTATCAATCGATAATCAATGCACAAAGCAGTAGGTAATAGAAAAAAGAAGACACGGTTGTCGGTGAGACTAAAAGCATTTTACACGACTTTCACCAAAGAAATCTTAGAAAGGTTCTAAGAGAATTTCTTCAACAAAATTTCAACAAATGATATAAATAATGTTGATTCCTCAACGAATATGATATAAATTTAAATAAAACTAAGATGATATTTTTAGAAAAGCAACATGTCAACATATTATCTTGAAAGTTGATATCAATTAAATCTATGTCTATGATTTATATTTAAACATGGTACCTAACATATATTATTACTTAGTTAAATACTTCATTATTTCAAAAGCTATTGACTTTTTTTTAAATAAAAGAGTCAAAGTTTCAGTCACTGAAATTCTGTGTTTTGCATAACTTTGTGAAATACGTCTTAGGTTAATTATACAGCGTATCTGTAAATTTGACCATAATATGTAACATTTTTTTTAGTCATTCACTCCCCCCCTCCGAAACCATCCCTGATAATAGTAACATTAGTAAGTCCCTACCAAACTTGTTAGTTAATATCAAAGCGCATTATCAGAAAACAGTAGTTTGCACTATGGTGACTAGTGACTACAGACTAAGTGAAGAGTGAAGACTGTCTAGGTAAGACGATAAAAAAGATATTGTTTAAGAATTTAAATATGGAACCTCACAGATATGTTTAATAAGACAAACTTTTATATATATGTTATATATACATCTGTGGAACCTATAAATAAAAAACGCATTTTTATGGGTCATGATTTGAATTAATCAGTTTATGACGATACTTTAAGATTGACAATAATTTATTATATACCAAATAATTAAATTTAATGCGCAACACTACAACAGTGTATTAAGTAAATATAAATTACTTTAAAATCAATACAATTTTATTAATTTTATAATCATTATTATAGGTACTTATTTAGTTATTTATTATCAACGTTATCGTTTTATGTCTTAAATCATAATAAAATACTAATAATATATTTGAATATAATTATATTATTATAATTACGGTACATTACGTTATCAAATTTTCAGTGAAAAATAAAAATTATCTTGGTAATTTATTTCAGTCATTAAATATTTAATACTTACTAGAACGTAACTAAGATCAACATTTTTAATAGTCCTAGGCAGTTGTTAGGTATCTGTCAATGCGTCCCCGCTGTCCGCAAGTGGTTTCTCAAAATAAATCAAAATAAAAAAAAAATAATGTCAATTGTTAAAATATTAAATTATGTATAGTTAGTAATTACTAATTAGTAGTAAGTTAAAAATATAACAATCAAATATATTAATTATTATAACAACATACATTTAAAATTGTAAACCCCATTTATTCAATGGAAAATATACTTTGATTTAAATAATAAATTACCTACCTACCATGCCAAACCCATTCATATTTTCATAATATTTATTATTCGTACAAAACTACCTAAAACTTCAGAAATAACTATCATCAGTAGATAATAGATATTATGTCATCGCAGTTGTAGTGGTAATTACCTATTTCATATCTTTCACATAGATAACCTGTTGTATATTAAAATAAAACGTTTTGAAAAATTGTTTAGTTAATCACACAAACGCAATTCGTATTTCGTTATCAGTGAAAGCTGAGCCTTTTAAACCAGCATAATATACTATGTATAAATGTATAATGTTTATTATGTTATATAGTTGGTCATCATATCATATTAAATTCCAAGGTCAGAAATAGTTGTTTCGAAAACATAAAAATGTCAATACTCAGTTGTAGGCATTACGAAGGTAAAACATAAATAACATTCAAGGGCATAAATCTTAATAAACTAAAGAAGCTAATAATTCATAATAATGTAAATTATATAGTGGACCAGTGGAGAATAGAATAATACACAAGTAATTAAAACTGTAGTCTAATTATTTAGTCCAGTTAAACTATTAAAGAGTACTGTGCTACTGCGTATTTTGCAATACTACAACTAATATGGGAATACTTGATAATAATTCATGAAATAAAATACTTGTAGTTATGAACAAAATCTCAATATTCAATAGCTTTTATTATAATAAATTGGCCCAATTTAATTAAATGTCTCAACTTAATTAAATAAATAAAAGCAAATTATCATTAACAATTAAATTAATACCTAATATGGTTCCTACCGTTTTTGAAATTATAACAATTTAAAATTTAAATTGTGTTCATGATAAATATTCTGAATAAAGGTGCCCATGAACATTGAGTATGCCAGTATGCGTGTCAAATATAGAAGATACAGTTTCTTCAGCTATTTTATTCTTGATTACCACAATGCACTTCTTAAATTCTTGAGATTAGTTTATTACTAGTTCATCTTTTTCTTTGTCATCAAGTGTGGTATGTACCTAAAAAAAAAGCATAATTTTATCTAATAAGTTTGAATATTTAGCCCACTATACAAACCAATTTATTATTAATTTCCACCTATATTACAATACCAATACATCTGAAAAGTAAACTGATAATTAAGTGAAACATTAAGCTATTAACACATTATCCATTCTTTAGATCCTACTTATTGTGTTGGTAAAATGCATTCAATAGGCCACATAATAAACAGTTATATATTCACATTGTCCGGTAAGAATTCTATTCAAAGAAAAATAAATGTTATTATATCCAAACAAAATGATGATAAAAAAAAGTACAAGAGTTCAATGCTCTTATCTATCATTATGTTTGCACAATAATAAGCTTTTTCAGAAAACATCAGGTCTAAACTCTAAAGTTCACCAATATGGCTTATTCAAATAACTCAATCAGTCCAACTCGTAAAAATAGATGATTTTTGATATTAACATAAAAGGATAACTGTGTAAATTATAATTTAAAAAAAAATACATTTATAAGTGTAAAATGTTCTATAAATATTTGTTTATTGGTTGGTTATAATAAAAAAAATATTTGACAATATATTATACAATACAATATTTTTTTCATAATTATTTTACTTGGTAGCCACGGGAACGTAAATTGGTATAAAAAGCTATACGTTTATTATTGCTCATAGAAATTTTTACAAATAATTAATAAACATAAATAAAGATACCACACAGCCAATTAAATATTAAACAAATTACAAAACACTTAATTGTTAGGTACGTACTATTTTTTCGTTCAAGTCATGGATTTTTGTATAAATATCTAACTATATAGGTACTGTTTCTAAATGAAACAGTAAAAAGTGCAAATCATAACAAGTATAAAGCAAAAACATTAAAAATAAAGAAAATATGATTTTCTTTTTAAATTAAATTTGTATATAATAGTAGAAAAATATAAACATGAATCAAGGGTGTCTAAAAAAAAATTGATGATATTTAAATTAAATCATACATAATATGACTATTAGCAATAGCCGATAATCAATTTGTAATTTATAGACAATATTCACTAAGTTTGTTAACCACTTTTAAGGTTATGAAGATAATTTTATTAGGTAGTAATAATAATATCTGAGACTTGTATACAACAATAATAATGTTAAACAAATCTATAGTTCCCAAGCAGCGGATCAAAATCTTATCAGAAATAAAATATAATAAAAGATAATGAAATAGTTGTTTGGTATTCCATTAAAAAATAAATAAAAAGTAAAAATAAAATAATAATATATACCTAATATATTTCTCCCAAAATTATAAACATTTATTTTAATGGGTGTAATTGAGATTTGGTTATTTTAATGTAATATATTAAATGCCATATCATATGATTTTTAGTTGTTCTTGATAATCTGAATTTTGAATTTTTTTTTCTTCTATTTTTGAAGCACATTAATCGTTTTTGTAATTCATGTTCAGTATCCATGGGCAACCAAATGATCGCCAAGCTTTTCAACAACAGAGGCAGCTTGTTGTGGTTGAATAGGGTCTTCATATAATGAAACAACAACAGCCTGTTGGGTCTTCACGCAGTGTGCGCCCACTTTACCCAGCTTTGCTCTAATGACTTTATCAGTACCAGACAAATAAATGTACCTACTGCCAGCTAACGTTACGCCTGAAGCAGCCAAAACATTTTGGTTTTCAAAACCAGCAATTAGTCTGCTAAGTTCTTCCTTAGAAACATTAAATCCATCTGAAGTGGCCCATACAGTACCATCATGACCTGAGATAGCGGCTTTGGTAACGCATCGAGAAGCTATAAGGTGTTTGTCAACATAATCTTGCCAAGAAGACATATTTGTGTTTAGTGTGCGTTGTTGAAATTAAGTCTTGAAAAAAGGTTGGTATAACTTAGTACATTAAACTAAGATGATGACTTGATATAATTGTCCTTGCAGCAAATTTCTTAAGGTTGTTTGAAATATCTGTAAAAATAAAAAATCATTTAGAGTTTTGACATCTCATTTAGATTACAAATGTGTGCATAGTAAATGATAACATAATTGGGGCTTTAGCTGATGTAAAAAATAATAATGTGATTCAATTAACAGTCATACTCACTTTGATACAACTTTAAAATCTTTAAATTACTTTACAATAAGGAAAACATGAAATTGAGTTTTAAAGAAAATAGTATTAACCTTCTAATTTTAAATAAATCCTAACACAAAACTAAAAATTAGTGCAACATCTATATTGTTAATAACTAATGAACTCAAGTTAATTTTAGAGTAATTTATAACAATTAATCAGACAAGTATAACTCGTCAAAATAAATATTAAATTTACTATTGCCTTTAAGCTACCTATATTATTATATTAATAAATGAATATTCAACTCAACACGGTTCTAGTTGAACTTTAAATTATACTGATTAATAAGGAACTCATATTATAATATTTTAGTTACTTATCAAAATTGATGATAAAAAATACCATATTTCACAAATTCACATACAATATAATAGTACCTACTACCTATATGGTATAAAATGAATTAAAACTTAGTTTTATTATTTATTAGTTTAAATAAGATGATAATAATAACTAGATTAGCATAAATATATTTAAAAAACCAATATTTTAATTAAATAAAGACAGAAGTTTATTTATATACTAAAAATGTAGCCTAATATGCTACATATTATTTAGTGAGTAACATACTATTTAGAAATATAGAATCAAAAGTTAATTATTTTTCTAATTATAAAAAAGTCTGCCAATCACTTTAATCAGGAAAATTTCTCCCAGTATAGTAAGCAAGAAATTCCATAGTGCCTCTATAATATTAGGGTTGTCATATCTCCCAATTTTGAGTAGGTGTCCCGGTTTCTCAATAATTTGTTTTTGGACTGCAAATTGTCCCGGAATGACTCTAATATGTTATGTAAATAATTTTGGTTGATATAGCTTAGCTAAGTACCAAACAACTCAGACTAATCTGTTGGAAAACACATTGGGCACAGATTAATAATTTTGTATTTTATCATGTAGTCTTTTAACTTTAAAATATTATAATGTGTTAAAAATAATTGTATAATCAAAACATCAATAATAAAAAATGTTTTCCCTGGTTTTTGTCCATTAAAATATGGTATCACTACTCTACATGTATTTTTTTATTGTGCCTATAGTGACACTCACTTCCGACAGTTTTAATCAAAAACATATATCAACTTATTATACAAAACTACTTCAAATCATAGGGTCACAGGGTAACAAATATACAGATTCATAGGATGGAAACCATGTTGGGGAAAAAATATTCCAAAAAAATGTGGGCAGCAGATAACGGAAAATATCCAAATATTAATACAAATTCTGTTTACCAAATATTTATAAACTTCCTGTATAATTATGTTATATTATATTATCTGAATTTCAGTACTAGTAAATAATAAATAAATGATTATACATTATAGAAGTACTATAATCCACAGATAATACAATTAGTTTATATACATAAACATATATACCTAAGTCCTACATGAAATAAAAATAATATTGTTACAAATGTTTTATCGCAAAAACTAAATTAAAATTAATTAAAATTCTGTACAATTAGGTTAGGTAAGGTTAGATTAATAAAAAGACGTGGATGGGACAGAACAAAAAAAAAAATCAGATAGCTAATAACATTTAAAAGGATTATTAAGTTGAAGCAGCAAAAGACCTACGTGATTGTAACCATACTGCAGGGCAGTCCAAAGGGTTGAATCTGTTTTTATTTATTTTAAAATTTAAATTCTAAACAGTACACAAATAGATTTAACTATTTAAGTACCTTCAACAACTCACCATTAATACAATAAACCGATTTAATGCATTATTAAAATTATATTTTAATTCCTCCTCACTCCATCAAATTAATTTTTTTTATATATTACCTTAAGATAATACAAATTAAATTGCATAAAATATTATCACATTATTCAAGCCTCTAGCATTTATCAATTCTTGGAACCTGGAGATAAATTGGAAATTAATGGCTGACCAGTTAAATCTGTTATTTGTTTTTATAAATTTACCTATTATAGTATTTTAACAGAGGTATAAAAATATAATATGATACATATGTAATATTAAGTTTGTATTTCTAGTAGATATTGATGATTTTAGAAATACATGAAAAATGTTTAAGCGTAAATACCTAATAAGTTTACTTAGAACATGAAGCACAGAATAATTAATTATTCATTATAATATAACTTGATCATTATTACTACTATCTGGTCGATGTTTATTAATTTGTAAACTTGTCGAGGAAAAGTTAATAACATACCTGTATTGTCTTCATTAAAAGAATACATTTTTTTTCAAATTATATAATGGATGAAAAATTTGAACTTTTAGTGTTTTATTACGATTAATATATGAAATAAATGGTTGAATAATTATTTAAATTTATGAATGTTGTAAAAAAGGGAATTTAATGAATAGAAAATTTGTGAATATTAATACTACTAACATAATATTTGACACCTATCAATATATATTTCATGCTCAAAGACACCAAACTTACAAATACATGAGGGTATTGATACCAAATGAAAAATGTTTCCAGAACAAACACTGAACAACCCCAATTTAAAGTAGTTTAAAATATCTTAAACTGAAAGCAATTATAAAACAAATAATGCATACCTTTACAGTTGAATTTTAGGAAAAATCTAAGTAATAAGTATTTTATTTTTAAGGGAAAAAAATGTCTGCCTAGGTTTTTACTTACACCCATAAAATCACGATAAAAAGATTAATACATGTTTATATTTGTTTTATGTTTATAAGAACAAAATTCATTAATATTTTTTCTGTAAGTCATAGGTAGGTAAAAGATTATTTACTATGCAAAATTACATATAAATCAATTTAAATATTTAAAGAATACCTGTCAAAAACTAACAAGAATCAAAAAATCTCTCTAATATCACATTATGAATGAATTTTACATTAATAAAGTACAATAATTAATTTTTAAACTTAGAAATTTCTAAAAATTGAATGTAGTCGAAATAGATAGTAACATCTAAATAATAACATAATTTATACCTTCAAAAATGTAATCATGATTTGTACCTATGATAATTTAAAATAAATTTAAGATCACAAACTATAGTATAAAAACCATTGTAAAACAATAAATATACAAAACGTTTATTATTTAGATGATGTCTCATAGTCATTCAACTAGTCACTACGAAAGGCATAAGGAATTTAGCATGACCAGATGCTTACAGCGTGACTTGGGGGGAATATGACATCATGGATGAGGTCATTGGATTGGAAAAAACACTATATAGATAAATAGTTTGTACCAAAGCAGTATTACGTATTTTAGGCAAACCAATGAAAACAAAAATATAGACTTTCTTAAGAAAATATTTATTTAATATTTTAAATGTATAACATTTTTTTTTTAATGAAACACTAATTATCAGTCACTACTTTGCTACTATACTCATGAGTACACCAAAATCTAATTTCATGAAAAAATACATACCAGTAGAATGTGATAAATGCAGGTTGGATTTAGGTAGAGCTGTTGTAACAAAATATTTTTTCTTTTGTCCTGAAAAATAAATGTATTTTTTTGATAAAATGTAAGTAGGTACATGAAATTATTTACTTTTATACTATTTCAGCTACTATAAACAATATTTTATTGGTATTTTATATAGTTTTATTATATATGGTAAAAATATACAAATTAACAAATTGCAGGACATTTTTTTGATTTTAAGTAAAAATATTATACATTTATACAACATAAACAATAATAATGACTAATACTCAATCAAATAAGAAAACAATTAACTGATATAACCACAATTCGGCCAAGAGGTTTAAACTAGGCATGGCAAATCTATAAGGAATTTAATAGTCAAGATATTGTCAATTATCTCAACAGCAACAACTAATAATAGATAATCTTTAATAGTTAACATACATTATAAATTGGTGTTATAAACAAATTAGATTACTTAATTAAAATCTTGAGAGATTGAAAAGGATAATATCAAATATCAATATAAAATAGCTTGTAAAACTTAAAACGTGTAGATACCCACCTATAATTACACTTTATAAATCATTAGGAATGATAAAGGTTTAACTTCATGACTTAGGTATAAGATAAAATATTATAAAAATAACAATATTAGGAATACCTAATACATTGCATATAATTTGAATTAGGTCAATAACATTTTAAAATACTAACAAATAATGTTTTGCTACTTTGCCAAAAATAAAAAGAAACAGTTGACTTACAAGCATATACAGTTTCGGTAAAACCTATTATATTGGTAGGTGCCAAAAATGTCAATCGTTTAGACGTAGGTATTTATTGTATATATGTTTTAAAGAATTCGTAAGAAAACACGGATAGATTACAAGAAAAAATTTTTTTAAAAAAATCTAAATGTCGGGTAAATCAACAGTAATTAATGTAAGAGATTGGGTAACATGAAAGTCGTAAATAATGTTTAGTGTCATAAAAACTAGAAATACCCAGATTACAGATGTGTATATTTTATTATACTTGTTGTATTTTTAAGAGAACAGAAGTTCTAGTAGATATTCTAGAAGAGTAACTATTCTATTAAGCAATGACTGGTGGAAATTTCTAATAAGCAGGGAAATCGCGAGGACGATTAAAATCGAGATTCGTCGAAGACGTTCGCCAAACACAGGGAAACAAATTTACCAGCCTTATATGGGTACAACGGTTAGTAAGTAGTCTGGTCGAGTGTATTATTATTATACCGGTTGACCTGAATTTAAACAAATACGCGAAGGCGGTGGTGATATTTATAACGTCTGCTTATCGCGACGGAAAAAAAGAGAATAATAGCTGCTCCGAGCGGGGTTAATATAACAGTAATAGAAAGGCCAAAAAAAAATTTAAAAAATAAAGAAATAGGCGACAACGAATGAATTACGTCACGGGTTCTGGCGACAGATGCATTACCACGGTACGCCGGGCGATTTAAATAATTCAATATATTTCGAAAAAAAAAAACGGTAGTGCACACCACGACGGGGGAAAAAATTCGTCGAACAAAGTTAATGAAGAAAAAAAAGCAAAAAAATCTGTTTACCAGTAGTGTCGTCTGGTCGTACGTGCTTCGCTGCAGTTGTCGCCGTCGTCCGGGTGTGCGCACGATCGATTCTTGTCCGCTTTGCGGTATCTGCTCACTTACTGCTGTTGCCCGGGGTGAGTAATAGCGTTGTGCTGCCGTTGCGACGACGAGTGACGAGTGACGACGACGACGAGTGACGACGACGACGATTGCGACGGCGAACCGCGGTGTTACTGCGTTAGCACATGGCGGCACGGCGAGGCGGTGGGAGCGGGATGACAGTGGTAGTGGTAGCTGTGGTCGCGACTCGCGAGACGAGCTGGTAATCTGGTATACCCATTCCGGCGGAACGCTCGTCACGTCGTCGTGCTGCCGTCGGTTGGCCGGCGGCCGTACGTTGGCGTCCGCGTTTCGTGTCGCTTCGGCGGGCCGATTCAATCGGAACCGGAAAAAGAGTGAAAACGAAACGAGAAAAAAATAATTCGTGATCTCCGATCGGAGCGGTCGGCAGACACGAGTCGTAGACGACCGGGCCGGGGGCAGGATGCCAGGATGATATAATGTGTATTATTATAGGTATCGGAAACACGAAGGGAATATCAAGTGACAATTGCCCAATAATGGCGTGACCGAGCGAGACGATAATAGTAATAATGCATGTTTATATTATTATTTTTAATAATATAACGACAACATCGCCGGCGTGTGCACTGTGCTCCTCGGTGGCCACACTAGTCGTGCTCATCCGCTCCAACCAATGCTCCATCGTTCGTTTTGACCACGGACTAAGATAGATATATATATATATATATATAAATATTATGTATTTATGAATATCTTAGTCCACTCATCCACTGACTTAGACAGTCCGTTCGATGTTCTCGACTCGACGGAAGGATGTTGGCAACGGTGGCCACTGTGGTTTGGTAACCCCTGGCACCGGCCTTGTGGGCGGATGGCGGGCAGCTGTCTCTCTGTCCCCCGTCGCGCCTCGCCGGCCGTCCTCAGACCGCTACTGAATTATACTGATGACTCGGCGCCGAGTGCAAAAAGCGCATCACAACATTCACGATTATTTAATAATATATATTTGTCCGATTTTATTCGTGTCCTAGGCCTTAGATACGACCTACAAGGTTACGACGACGGCGGTGGCTGCCTATTTACGACGTCCTTTTTCCATTTATCTTTTTAAATACCAGTAATAATACATTAATAGATACTTCTCAGTTCTTCCCAAAGTTACGAATAAGAATGAATTCGGTGATCGTCGGGAGGGGGGGGGGGTCGTCAGTCAGTCAGTCCCTTGCCCATTTGGGCCATTGCATTCAAACTAAGTCCTTGGAAAAAAAAACTGCCATAACATGTTCAATACTTCGGTGTCTCTAGTTAATAACTTTAATATAAATTATATAGGTTCATTAATAAATAAAAAAGATCATATTTTCAAATTTTTAAGATTTTTCGTACTAAATAGGAGTGTCCTGGAGAGATACGAACTTTTGTTTTTCAAATGAGAATCTCCCTTTTCTACTTTAAATTATTTAGCCGATAATTTTTCTGTACATTTTGACGTTCTTATCAGAATCAAAATTCAAACGAACAGTTTTTGAGTTGTTTAACCTTGTGTTGACATTAACTTCTAATGATAATATGTCAATGTTAATGGGCTTAGAAAATATTTAATATTGGGGCTATGGTGCTTTGAAAATTGTAGTGATTAATATTAATTTATCGGCATTAATAATTTATACAAATATCCCAATTATTTAAATATGTATTAAATACTATATGATAATATAATAATATTATAGTTAGTATAGAAATTAGAAATGTTGCATTCGATGAGAAACTATATGGAAATTTAACTACTCGTTGATATTTCCGATTTCGAGTATAATGAATGTCGAAATGGGGGTGTTGGAGGTGTAAGCTACAAAGTACAAGTTGATGAGAGGATATAGAGGTGGAATATTATATTAATGACTTATAAAAAATTAAAAAATGCCACAAAATCAAATTGTGACGTCATACTTTTGCCACTCAGCAAAGCAGCTTCATGAACCTGTCCTATTTGTACGACGCGTCGATGCATATAAAACGTACGACTGACGATTCACAATCCACACATATTATATACTATTATTTTATTTATTTATATGCATATTCAAGAAAATTATTATTTTCTAATAATCTGTGGCGGATATATTTATATATTATATATCAGTTCTTTTTTAATCGTTCCCTGTTTCCGTATACATAAACAATATAGATTGCCCCTGCGTTATCTCGGGCTGGATACCCCTTTATATAGTAATACACGAGAAAAGTGCCAAATAACAATAATTAACAACAGTTCGTATCTATAATCAATATTTATCTAAATATTCTATATTTCTGTAATCTGTCATCTACGGTACAATATACCTACTACACCTGTAAGTATTTTATTACTTAAACATGCTTACAGATAACATAACATTAAAACCCCCTACTTATATTTATTAGTATGTAATATTATTGTATTATTTTATTTATGTAATATTTTAATTTTATGATACAATAGAATAATACAATTAAAAGCAATAATAAATTAAACAAAAAAGCGGAGAATTCGCTCTGCAGTCTGCTGTGATGAATATAGTAACTTATTGTCAAGTGTTCGTCATTGAGTACTTATACTACCTAGTCATTGAGATAAGTTAAATTTGAATTCAATGATATTTATTGTTGAATTTCATAGGCACGAAAAACGATTCTTAGTGAAGATCTGTTACAGTAGGTATAAGAATTTGATACTTATAATGTTATTTATGATTTCTTTTTCTATAATAATACTGCAGACTTACAGTAGCAATAGGTTTAACTAATAAACGCCAAAAACAATAATTGCATATAAGATACCTACGTTTCGGAGCGTGGAAGTTATATTTTACGCAAAACATTGCCCTTCGTAATTTCTTACTTTTGATAAAATCGGTGCGACAGGAATGAAATCATCCATCGTGATCTGAAGATATCCAGCCACCTAGGATGAAATCAAAAATATTGGCAACAAACATATGAAAATAAACTAAATCTATACACCAAAGCAACTGCTAAACAACTTGACAATTTTCAAAACATTAAGTTCCTCCAAGTGTTTTAGACTAAGGAAAACCAGAACCAAAGAGACTACCTCATAATTGGATGTATAACCACAAACTTCTATATTTCTACATTTAGGTATACGCGTGGTTTATTTAGGTATACTGTATACATATTATATTATTATATTACGTACTGTTATATTATGTGTTATTTAAGACTATTTATTGTGTATACACCCATTATGTATTGTATTTATAAAGATTTTTGGTCAAATAAAGTTGCCTTAGAACAGATATAAAAAAATTATAACATTTAATAGGTTTAACTGACTATAGGTACCTATATTATTAGAATACTAAATTCAGTGCCCACAACTACTGTTGGCACTTGGCTGGTAAATTTATAGTTTATACACCACGAGGCCTCGGATTTTATCATACCAACACGGCAACACATTAAAAATATATATAATATAAATATAAAACAACAAAAATATTTAATTATGACGTTTTATAAAAATTATGTAATTATGTAAGTAACATATTTCAACAATGAATTGTTCCCAAAAAAATCGTCAAATAATTATTAAATATTATGACTTATAGTCTGTACTGAGTAATTTATGAGTGTATACTGTAGTATAGGTTAGGTTATGATAATATGGTTATGGTTATATGACTTATATGTCTGAGTAACGAGTATATTATTTAGTTTATTATTATTATTTTTTAGCTTTAAGAGTTCGATAAAAATCAATTTTTACAGAAATGTACGTATAACAAAATAACCGCCCTTGGCCCTTGTTACCACCCTATACCCACGACTTTGTCAAGGCGACAAGACGAAAACAAAATAGTATTGACAGTTATTACTAATTGTACAATAAATTTTGTTATGCTCATAATACACCCCGTCGTCACCTCAAAGGCGTGGCTCACAGAGTTTCTAATACCTGTTCTATACGAAAAATGTCAAATGATACTTCGATATTGACGATATTGCTGTGAGCAGCCGACTGCCACGGCCGTTGGCCTTATCGATGCTGTGCCATTTCAAAAAGTCATAGTGTACAATAATCCATGCACGATGCACTGTATATTACTATAATAGGCCAAGGGCGTATCAGAATAACATTAGGTGGTGGAGGAGGATGAGAAGAATAGAAAGAAATAATAGATAAGGTTTCGACTAGTAAAAGAAGTGTTTATAAAATTATTGTTGTTTTAAAATTTTTATATCATATATTAGTCCTTTTAACCTAAGATGATTTTATACTGTTCATATTATTCATTATTGTTAATCTTTCTTATTTTAATATTTTAGTTTTAAGTTGAATCGTTATGTTCGAATGTTCAAAACTTAAAAGTGTAATGGGAGTAAATCAATCACTTTTTTTCTTTAGTGACCACCTTTAAAATGTATTTCTGTAAAAACTTCTTATTCCGTCCTGTACGAGCTGCGAGCCATACAAATTATATTCATACATAGCTACAGTTATATAATGTATATAATTTTAATTTATACTAATAAATATGAATATATTATTATGATAGTATATTATAAGCAATTAAATGCATTGATTAAATATATTTATTAATTAATCAATTTAATTATAACTATATTATCAATAAGGATATAACGATGGTGTATTTGAAGTGACTAATATTATACGTTCCTAATCGTCTATAACATTATAATAGATTATGAATAATATAAATAATATTAATATAATGAGTAGGGACACCTTCATAAAATTTTTAGTTTTTAGTCTTATACTCTATAAAGTATTATATTGCTGGCATTTTAAAATGTTGTCTCTCTCTGCATTACTATAATTATATACCTACGGTGAAAAGATCAATAAATAATGACTCATGAGTCATATGATGAGTAATTTGTTTCGAAAAAATGTTGTTATCTACTGGTGAGCTGAATATTTGTTTGCTCGTAGTATACCATATAACTACCTACGTTTTACGTGTTTATTATTTATATAATATAATATGTATTAAGGAATTTATACATATGTACTTACAAACATAAATAAGTTATAGGTAACAAATGTAATATCTGATATTAGTCTAATGTAAAATGCTATCTTGCATACATCTTAGTTTGTACTTTTGTAATATTATTGAAA